ACTCACCGTACCCAGCCTTCTCCAAGTTGTATATTTAACATTCTTGGGTATTAAAAACATTAACATAGTCTTTAAAACATGTAGCATACCATTACATGGTTTTTCTATGAAGGTTTTGTTCATTCATTTGCCTGGTAAACAAAGGTTGAAACATTGATAGGTACTAATTACAGACATTGGATTATTAAGTTTATCATTTGCCTGTCATGGTGGCAGCAGGATCACAAGTTCAAGGGCAGCCTTTGCTACATACATAGCAAGTCCTGGTCTAAACAGGGACTGGAGATGTAGCTCACCAACAGAGAACTTGTGTATGTGGCTCAGCGCTGGAAAACTGGAGTACCATATGCAATGCCCTGGTGTTTGATACCTAACACCACAAGGAAATAAGAATTTTAAAAATTATTGTGTAAAGAAACTACAAGCCTGGTATAGTAACCCATACCTGAGACGGGAAGATGTTCTTGGGTTCAAGGTCAGCCTGGGCTACATAGTGAATTCCAAGCTCACCTGAGCTGAACTACAGAGTGAGACCCTGTCAGAAAAGAAATAAAACCTACGCAAGCATGCCCGAGAAAATCTAGCAAATGGGATCACCATGTGACTTCCTTCCCACCTCCCTTTCTGACTAGTGTCACCTCTTCTGACCGTCCTTTTGGGAAGATTCTATCAAGAAATTACAAGCCAGGCTGTTTCTAAGGGGAAAACTGAGTGTTACAACCCAAACTGTTTCTAAAGGACACGAGTGTCCTGGTGATGACACTATCCTGGACATGTTAGAAGTGTTAACTCATTTCTTCTAAGGAACTGTGAGGTGGCATTAAAAGCCACCCTGATCACCCTGCCTCCACCGCTTTCTCCTCCATGCTGCACCTGTGTCTCAGTCACACTGACCTTCTAGAACATTCATATCCATCTCCTCCATTCATCTTTCTGAATACAGTCCCCAGCCCAGCCCCCTTACACTCCCCATGGCCCTCTTGTCTCCCCCATTACACCCTTATACTCCCCGTGACCCCCTTATGCTCCTCATGACCCCCTTACATTCCCTATGACCCCCTTATACTCCCCATGACCTCCGTATGCTCCCCGTGACCCCCTTATGCTCCCCATGACCCCTTACATTCCCTATGACCCCCTTACATTCCCTATGACCCCCTTATACTCCCCATGACTCCTTTATGCTCCCTGTGACCCCCTTACGCTCCCATGACCCCCTTGTGTCCCCCATTACATCCTTATGCTCCCCGTGATCCCCTTATGCTCCCCATGACCCCCTTATGCTCCTCATGACCCCCTTATGCTCCCCATGATCCCCTTATGCTCCCCATGACCCCCTTACATTCCCTATGACCCCCTTATGCTCCCCAAACTCCACCTGTCAAATCCTGTCTGCCTTAAACCTCCCCAGTCCTGTGCATTCTCTCCCTGTTCCAGGAGACAGTTTCCCAATGCAGTCTCTTACAGGAATTAAACCTAGTGCGGTCTGAATCACTGTTCTCAATTCTCCCTTCCTCTCCCGGCTCTGGTTGTTCCACTAGCAGACAGAGCTCAACATAAACACATTCATTACTCGGAGAACAGAGACAGACTTTAGTTATGGCGTCTGCTGCATAGGAAACACCATCTCTTGCTCCATGCCATTTATTTGTTGTCAAAAATTGTACACAAATTATACAATATACAATTTATAAAATAACTATTATCCATGAAGCATTTTCTGGGTCAAGGACCTCATAAGGTAGCATATGTCCCCTTAAGACTATCCCTTAAAGGGTTGACTTATTTCCAAGCCACTACAATGTCCTCACGCTGTTAAAGATTTTCATTTTTTAAAAGAAATTTAGACCTATTTTATTTTATGTATATGAGTGTTTTGCTTGCACGTACTAATGTGGGTCTGAAAAGGGTGTCTGATTCCCTGGAACTGGAGTTACAGATGGTTGTGAGCTTCCGTGTAGTTGTTAGAAATTGAACACATGTCCTCTGAAAGAGCAGCAAGTGCTCGTAACTGCTGAGTCATCTCTCCAGCCCGACAATATGCTGCATTTGGTGGTTATGGTGATTAACTGCTAGAATATTTTTCAAAACTGGGGAGAGAAGTCCAAGAGATCACCAGCCATGGTGGCACCTGCCTTTACTCAAGTGTGCAGGAGGCTGAGGCTGGGAATATCACTTGAACCTACAAATTTGAGGCCAGTCTGGAATACATAGCAAGAAAGTGTTGGATCACAGGTTTGTTCACTATCCTAAGGCATGTCTTCACACCCACCAGTGCTGGGATATGTGTAAATAAGCGTTCTAAAAGTAACCTCAAAGGAAGCAACATGGCAGGTTGCCTCATTACAAAACCATGCGTCCTATGACAGAAGAGAAAATAGTCTCAGTGTTCAAGAATACGTAACTGACGGGGGGATAAAATTTCTATTTCTGTGGAGATGGACGACTAGGAAGGGTTTAGACGGTCTCACAGGGTCCAGGCTAACCTAGAACTCACTGTGTACCCACACCTGGCTGGGGATGGAAGTTCATGCACACATTCAAAAGCTGTAGTATGAGCATCTCTGGAGAAACAAAACATCTCTGGGTTCCTGTCTAGAAAGACCCAAGATGTGACAAGACACTGGACTTAGAGATGCCTGGGAGACAAGACCAAATGTTTTGTGAAATGAGAAACAGGAAATTACAGTGGCGCATCACATATCCACGACTCAGGTCACACTCTATCACTAAACAGGTGTGTGTGTGATTATGATATGGCAGTCTGCTTCTTAAACACACATGACTGTGCTGCTGCATCAGCAGGTTCAGGGATTCAGCCAGCTTCAGACTGAAAACATGAAGGGGGAAATGCCAAACTGTGCCTCCACTGGGTATGTGCAGACTTTCCTCCCCGTTATCGGTTGATGTGTCCCGTGTGATAGATCATCGAGATTATCTAAAGTCCACAGGAGGATGGTCACTGGTCTATGCAAAGATGACACCTGAGCAGCTTTGGATTTTAGAGCCATAGGGGACCCAGCCAATGCTCTGGGGATGCTGGCAGCCCTTACATCAAATCAGTCCCCTAGAAAGGTGAGTCTCAATCCTGTCACTGCATAAGTAGAGCCTTGCCTTCCAGGAGAGTCGCTGTAGACAGATTCCCGGATGGAAATCCTCACACCACTCCAGAGTGAGGTTAGTGTCCTCATACAAATGAGGAAATGGAGCTTAGAAGTTAATACACACATTAAAGCTCCCCAGCCAGTGTGTTGAGACTGTCCCCAGACCTGTCTGACTGGAGTGTATCCTGAGCCACAGGCTGCAGGGAAGACTCCTACCTGCCCTTTGCCACTGCCTGAATTATTCCACGCACACACCACACACACACACCACACCCAGACACACAGACACACACCACACACATACTCACTCCCAATACATAAAGTGCACAGTTCCTTCCAATTTAAACCCTAGGAAGAAGCTGTTCCACCAAGATCAGACCCAGGTGGCTTCTGTGCTCTCCAGAAGCAAGCCCGGGAGTTAATGTGGAAACAGGGCATCTGCAAGCTCACCCGGACTCCCTCAGACCCCTCTTGGGGCCCTGTATTTCATACAGCCTATGCCACACCCAAAGACAGAGATGAACAGACAACTGAGTGTGGTGCACGATGCCGTGATCCCAGCATTCAGGACAGCTGCAAGTTCAAAGCCGTCCTGAGCAACATGGCATGTTCCAGGTCAGCCTGAGCTACACAGTCAAACTTTGTCTCAAAAAAGAAGATGGGGGGAGAGGGCATGTGTTGGGGAGAGAGGGGGAAAGAAAGGGAAAGGGAGGGAGGGGCTGGAGAGAGAGGAAGTGAACGCTCCATCCACTGGGTATATATCTCAACACCCCCCCACCCCGTGGATGCCCAAACCACAGACAGTATAAATATTATTTGTGCAGTCTTTCCTAAACATGCACGTATATGATACAGTTCAATTTATCAAGTGAGAGACTACATAACAATGCACTGGAAAGTGTCATGTGACTATCTACATCCTCATAGAGACAATAGTATTTTGGACTCTTATTGACCAGATAACTGAAACCACTGGCAAGTGTGGCTGTTCTAGTCTACAGAGAAGAACTGGAAACAGTCCTCTCCATCTCTGCCCTTCCACACATTTGATAAAGGACGCGGAGAATTTGAGCCACAGAGACAAGGAATCATCCTCTCAGGACAGGGTCCACGATGAAACACATGTGACCTCTCTGGCCTCTCCACGTCCTCGGCACATCCCCTTGGAACGCAAACACTGAGGAGAACTGGGAGCAGCCTCTGAGTTTTAAGTGAAGTCATTCCAAGCTTCTGGCAGTAAGTGACAACTGCACTTCAGACAGGAGCAGGGACTTCCTGCAGGGTAGGTGCATGAGCTGTGGGGACAGTGGCCTGGAAAGCTGCAGAGCCTAGATGCCACTCTCCGCCTGGAGCAACCAACACCGCTCTCCAGGTAAGTGGTGAGCAAACAGTGCCTGTGATAACTCCTTTTTTTTCTTTTGGCAAAATCACCTAAAATCTAAATGCTGAAGGTCTTCCTTTAGGTGACTTCCTTCTACTTTCTACTTACTAGTGTGAAATGTATCTGTTTAAGACAGTGATAAAGACAGACCTGGTGGTACTCAGCTTCAACCTCGGCACTCCTGCGACAGAACTCTGTGAGTTCAAGGCCAACCTGGTCTTCAGAGCAAGTCCCAAGTGACAGGGCAAAACAAAATACTGTTAGGAGTCCAGAAACCCATTTATTTCTTCCTCAATATTCTGACAACTCTAAGACACATTGTCATCGTAGTTGGATGAGCATCTGAACCAGGGATGTTTTGATGACCCTGCTTCCTATCACACGGAACAAAATTCTGACCTTGAAGACACAAAATGTCCACACCTTCCATGGTGGAATCTTGCTGGTGCTTCCAGAAAAGCAGCAAGACAACAACTTCGGTCTCTTCAAACCAGTGCGGCTTGACTGGGACTCACCTGAATGTGCATGGCGCCCTCTACTGCTTCTGCTAGGTTACCGCATCCACTGATGAGCGACAACTGCTGCTCTACACTCAAGGAGCCTTTGAGAGAGCCGGACTGCCCCAGCAATTTCATCTCCTTCCTGCAGAGAAGCAGAGAATGGTCACCGTGGCAACGAAAGCAAACTGAAGGACAAAGCTGGGCAGACCCAATGACAGTCACAATGACATGCAGCCTCACACTTTTTGGATGCTACTATCACAAAAAGGAGGATGAGGATGAGAAACAAGGAGGTGAGAGGGAGACAGAGAAGGAGGGGGGAGAGAGGGAGGTGATGGTGAAATATGGACTCAAACCCATGTTCCCTGCTGGGAAAGTAGACAGTGCCGCAGCTATGGGAGTCAGCATGGAGATGCCTCAAAACCTTAAAAACAGAAGCCAGTGGTCACCTCGTCTAAGTACCAACCGGAAGAGTTGGAAACAGTCTTTGAGGGGTGATGGGTTTGAATTTGTGTATATATGGGTGCATGGGCGCATGGAGAGGCATTCGCATACATGCATGCAATGTGTGTGGAGTCAGCTTCCGATTCTGCTCCTCAGGATCCATTCACTGGTTTTTGGAGACAGAGTCTTTCACTGGAGCCCGAGGCTCACTAGGCTGCCTGGCACCAAGCCCTGGGGATTCCAAGCACTCACCACCAACCATGTCAGGATTTTCACATGAGAACTGAACCCAGGTCCTCATGCATTACATGGCAAACACTTTATAAATTTCACTATCTCCTCCAGCCCCAAAACACAACTTGAAGGAAGTTCTGCACACCCATGTCCACAGTAGCACTGGGGAAGCAACAGAAGGGTCTGCTGATTGACAGGAAAACAAACGGAGCACATACAGACGATAGAGCATCGTTTGTCCTTAAGGAGATGGGTAGGTGAGTAAGATGCGTTCTAGCCTAAAGGAGCACCATCCAGCCTTTAGATGGGAAGGAATTCTGGCGTGCACTGTGCAGTCGCCAGCCTTTAAGCGGGAAGGAATTCTGGCGTGTACTGTGCAGTTGTTCTTGAAGATATCGTGCCAAGTGAAATCGGCCATTCACACAAAGGCAACCCCTGTGACAGGTCACACTTGGTCACGTTACCAAGAGCGTCAACTGGGAGAAGAAAGCAGGCTGCTGGTTCCCGGGGCTGAGAGTCTGGGGGATGAGGAGTTAGCCGTTAAGGAGTGCGGCTTCTGCTCCTCAGCTTCTATGAGTGGTGGTGACAACCGCACACCATTGCCCATGCCTTGTGTACCGACGGTGCTTGAAACGGTGCAGTGACAGGTTTTATAACATGTTTTGCCGCATTTTGGCATTTTTAATTAAGTTTTTAAAAAAAAGCAAAGGGTGAAACTAACTCAATGGTGGGGTTAGATATAGCCAATGGTTCATTGTCATTCTTGGCTCAGGCCCCTGGCATGAAAGAGACCGTGGAAAACATTGTCTTAGCCGGGCGTAATGAGCCTGTGATCCCACCATTTGGAAAGCTGAGGCAGGAAGAACGTGGATTATGAAACTAGACCAGAAAGGAAGAGAGCTGGGCGAGGGAGCCAGCATCATGCCATGTGACCTGTGCCATCACCGGGGTGTGTGCTGTTTGAATGGGGAGCCCACATTCTCATTCTTCTCACAAACTATGTTGTCAGCCTTGCTCACTCTGCAGGAAACACAGAGCGGGCAGGACATACATACACACAGCCACCTGTGCCCTCCAAAAATACACTGCAAATTTTTTACCAGCAAATCAAACACCTCTGATTCATTTCACATAATCAGTTTTACCTTTTGAGGAGCAAATGCATCTAAGTGTGCTTAAATCAACACATTTGCAGGGCTACGTACCCTCAATGAGTAATGCGCTAGTAGTGGCTGCAATGTACCGATTCTACCACTAGATGTCAGGCTAGCATTACAATGCAGAATAAAAACACTTGCCAACCCTGCAGTGGACCCAGCACCTGGAAAAATGATCAGATGTTCAGGACCATCCTCAGGTACATAGCAAATTTGAGGCCTGCCATGAACACAGTAGACTCTGTCTCAAAACCTAAAAACTTAGAAGGGGAAAAGTATGTATCATTGTAAGATAAAATAGTGGGGTTTTTTTGAAACTGTAAAAATAATTTTTTTTAGTTTAGATAACCATTCTTTTTTAATGAATTTTCTTTTTAATTTACATTTATTTAATCATTCATTTGGTGTGTGTGTGTGTGTATGTGTGTGTGCGTGCACGCGCCTGTGTGTGTTCTCAGAATGCAGATTTGCATATACATGTGAGAGTATATACGTGCTACAGCACATGCATGCCCATCAGGTCATATAGAGATCATACAGAGAGCTGAAATCTGCTCTCTCCTTCCACCATGCAGGTCCTGGGCATCAAACTCAGGTGGTCAGGGTTGGTAGCACCCTTACTAAGCCATCTTATTGCTCCCTTATTTCTATTTTAAGTGTTGCATTAAAAATCGGCAACTGGAGACAGGCAGCGGTAGTGCACGCCTTTAAGCCCAGCACTTGGGAGGTAGAAGCAGGTGTAGCTCTGTGAGTTCTAGGCCAGCCTGGTCTAAAGAGCGAGTTCCAGGACTGCCAGGGCTACACAGAGAAACCCTTTCTCAAAAAGCAAACAAACAAAATCAGCAACTAGGGGCTGAGCCTGACGGCTCTTGCCTTTAAAACCAACCTTTAAAAGGCAGAGGCAGGCAGACCTCTGTGAGTTCCAGGCTAGCCTGCTCTACATGGTGGCACTTGTCTCAAACAAGCAAAGAGTACCTGTCTAAGGACGAGGGGGCACTGGAGCCCTGGCCTGCTGATCAGAAGAAACAAATGACACAGTCGCTGTGAGCATGGCCACCCCTTGGAATTAAAAGCAAGAGGCACACCAAACTTCCACTGACAGCACAACCCTTTTGAAAACCAAAGACTATCTGCAGTTTGCCCAGGGCCTGCCACCAAGTAGTCACACCTGCTACCCAGCCAAGCCGGCCAGTCGGCCCTGGAAACCTGAAACCCTCTGAGAGAGACACCTAAGCTTGAATGTACTGCAAAAAAGTCAGAAATGGGCCCCCAGCTGCCCACAGCAAGTCCGTGGTCTGACTGGTGGGAGCAGGCCTCCCAACCTCCTCTCCTCTCCTCTCCTGGGCCCTGAGGCCGGTGACAACTCTGGGACTTGAAGGCCAGGAAAATAGAAGGAGAGGCCCGCTTAAATCTTAGGGCAATCCATTTTACTGGTTTACAGTGTAGTACCAGGTGCCCGCCCACTCATGAAAGGGGCACTGTGACTGCCAGCTTGTCAGTCAGACACACAGGGAGACCGCCACAGTTTGGAGGTGTCCTCCAGGGTGCACGTGCTGGAAGGTTGAAACCCTACTGAAAGACACTGGCGCCTTCAGGGTGTGTGGCCTGCCGGGAGGTGAGGCCACAAGCACACGGTGATGAGTACAGGTTTCGCAGCAGGGGGCTAGTTGGTGTGAGAGTATGGCTGTTATTAAAAAAAAAAAAAAAAAACAAGCCCACCCTCCCAGGTTCCTGTCCTTCCAAGTGGCACACACCCTTGCTATGCCCAAGTCTTCCCCTGTGTGACCCCATCTGTGATGCAGTCTAATGGAACTGTCCCGCCCTGGATCAGCTGCATAGGCAGGGGACCGCTCCTCTTTATAAAATCGGCAGTCTCGAACCCTTTGCTACAGCAATGTGAATCAAGATGATGAGGCAGGAGCCATATCATTCCTTTTGAAATTTATTTTAAAACTGATTTCCTAATTCTTGTGTGCACATGAATGCAGGTGTGTATATGTGCACACGCATGTGCCCACATACACACACACACACACACACACACACACACACACACATTTTTCAGCTAGGCTGGCAAGTCCCAGCAATGCTATATCTTTAACACTAAGGCATAAGGCAGCAGACATGAGCAAGGCCATGTTCTTGGTGCTGGTTCTACGAGGGGATTCGAAGCCAGGCTGTCATGACTGTGCAGCAAGCACTCTTAACCAGCAAGCCATCTCTCTGGCCCCAAGTCACGCTTTTTTTTGGGGGGGGGACGATTTCTTTCTGTGTAGCCCTGGCTGTCCTGCACTTGTAATGTATTCCAGGATAAGCTCAAACTCAAAGATCTACCTTCCTCTGCCTCCCAAGTGTTGGAACTAAAGGTGTGTACCACCAGGCTGGGCCCAAGTCACACCATCCTTGAGCCCACATCTTTAGTACCGCCTAAGCTGCGAAGCCCTATCCTTCTGCCACCAGGCTCATATGCAAGCACACAGTGTCAACAGAAGCCCCTGGCCTCGGAATGTTCAGGGACTGTCACCTGAAGCCCCGCTGTCTACAGCAAGTCAGTCACAGCATTCAGACTCCTCCCCAACTTTTCAGGTGCCAAGTTCTCACATCACTGCTGCAAATCAGATAAGCTAAGGCTTTTTCTGCTTGGGTAGAAAAGCAAACAAAGAAAGTGAAGCAATTGCCTGAACTGTCATGATGACAGCCAAGTAGGAGCGGAATCTGTGAACACCCAGATAACCGGGGTGGAATGACCCAACTGAGTCCACAACCAGTGACTGTGGACCTTAAACCACCAGGCTCAGCTTACTCCTGGGCCTGTGTCCTGTGGTCCTTCTAGACGAGACTGCACCTGCCTCCCCCACCTACTTCTATTTCATTGACTATTCATCACTAAAATTAGATACAGCATTCCTTCATGAATACATCTGTGATGTCATACATTTCATACTTTTTAAAAACACATATACCGTACATATTTTTATACTATTTACACTTACTATACTCTGATAATATATTTTATTACATTTTCTGTGTGTAGCCAATCTATAGAAATATAGCAACTTTTCTTTCTCCCACGTATTTTCTCTGCTTCCTTGGGATTTTACCTCCAAAGTCTATGTTCAAAGTTCTCTTTTCAAACACTCACAAACAGTATGCTAGAACTACCAACTCCCCGGCGGTGTCATCACACTCCTCTGTCGCTGACCCATCTCCCCTAGGTGGGGAGCAGCACTTTATTAGGCGCTGCCGGGTGTGTAGGCTACAGACTGAATGCAAAAACAGTCACTCTGAAACAAATGGGTGGGGCTGTGTCCTTTACAGCACCATGCGTTTACAGAATGTCCCTGTATGTCATGGATTAGGGCAGTGAAAGTTCCCTGGCTGCACCAGGCCACCAGTCCCCAAGCCGTGAAGTCAATGGTGGCTGCTGATTGCAGAAGCCCAGCCAAAGCAGACACACTAGTTCCCAGTGTTCTGTCACGCTCCCTGGGCTGGCATTCTTGGTGGGGCTCTCTAACACGGAGGCTGCTGGTCTAAACTGCATTGCTTCTCTGTCTAGCCGACGGTACTGGGTAGTGCTAGCAAGTCACAGTGGACAAGTGTAGAGGAAGGTTTCCCAGCACTAAGTGGCAGCCTCTTGACGCACAGTGTCTTCCAGGCTTCTGCTGAGTCACTGTTAGTCCTGCCCCACTGGCCAGTCCAAAAGGCCTGGCCCAAGTCCAAGGTCAGAGGAGAAAGCCACCTTGTGCAGGGCTGACATACGCACCTGTAATCCCAGGGCCTGCCGGGTTGACACGCACATGTAATTCCAGGACTTGGGAGGCTGAGGCCACCCTGGGCTACACAATGAGACTCTGCCTCAAAACAAAACAAAGCAAAGGGGCCAACAGAGGATGCTTGCGTCATATGCATGAGCCCCCCAAGTTCAATCCCCAGACCACAAAACAAGAAAAAAAAGTATGTGTGGGTGTCCACAGACAGGGGAATAATTTATGGCCATTTTGTGGTCCGTATTCTAGTGAGTGGTTGTGTTACTGTTGTTTCGTGACAGTGTCTCGTGATCTCAAACTCCTGGTGCTAGGATTATAGGCATGGACCACCACACCCACCATTCCAGATGTCCTAGCCTAAGGTGTATGGGAAAACTAAAAGAAAGTTCCCAAACAGGCGAAGAGCAAATCCAGAGAAATCCAGGTGGAAACAAAGTTAAGATGAAGTTTAGGGGGCTGGAGAGATGGTGCAGTGGTTGAGAGGACCCAGGTTCAATTCCCAGCACCCACATGGCAGCTATCAACTGTCTATAACTCCAAGATCTTGACACCCTCACACAGGCATACATTACATAAAACACTAGTGAAAATAAAAATAAGCCCTTTTAAAAAGGAAGATGAAGTTTAGACTAAGGCTGAAGGAGGCTGGAAAGGTTAAAAACAAGGGATCGGGTCACCGGCAGGGCATGTGTTCAGAAACGACGTCAGCTGTCTCGGAGCCAGAGGGCAGGGCAGCTGCCTTGTTTCAGAGATCACTTCCAGTGGTTTATTAACTCCTGATCTATAAAAAAAAGCTGAAACATTTGCAGAGGGAAATGAGTTCCCAAGGACCACAGAGACTAGAAAAGGGCAGATGACAAATAGAGATGTCACCCAAAGACAGTGATCACATTAGGACTTGAGCCACACAAGACAGCATGTTCATATCTGAGTGGGGCTGGGTAGTCAAATGATGACTCATGCTGAGGACTTGGAGAATACAACAAGCTGCAAATCCTAAGAAACAATGCACTCAGATCTGCAGGCTACGGGGGCACTCAGTGTACTGGGTTTCAGTTTATCTTCTTAAGATGTTCTTAAAGGGCTTGAGACCTAACACCGACCGGGCTCAGAGCAGAACAAAGGCAAGGCATGGAGGCTCTCCCCAGTAGATACTGCCCTCCAGCTGAGAGGGTAACAAGTTTCTCACTCTGCCTCCCTGCTAGGAAAAGATTAGTCTTGGACGACATTTGTTTTTCCATGCACTAAGATCTCCTGTCACATGGTAAGCGTTACGATAATAACTTCTTTACATGCTGTTTTGTTTTCTCGAGCCAGGGTCTCATTCTGTGGCCTAGCCTAAACTGGAATTTACCATGATCCTCCTGCCTCTGCTTCCAAATTCAGGAATTACCCATGTCACTCACTATGCCTAGTTTCTAATGCCTTAATATTAAAAAAAAGTCAACTGCTCCTATACTACACTTGTTTTTGCACTTGCTACATGAATACATACTATTTCTACAATTTAAGATTAGTTATCAAGAAAGGCAGAGGGAAGAGGCCGGAAGGATGTAAATTCTAGGTTAGCCTGGGCTACACAGTCAGGTTTAAGGTCATAAACAGATACCATCTCTGAAAATAGAGAGGACCTGTAGCTCAGAGGCACTGGAATAGGGTCAATCTAACATACAAGGGATTTCTAAGATGGTCTGAGAGTGGGGAGAGAGAGAGAGAGAGAGAGAGAGAGAGAGAGAGAGAGAGAGAGAGAGAGAGAGAGAGAGAGAGAGCAGCTCACCAGGATGTTTCCTGCCATAAAATGCTCAGAACAATAAGACCCTAAAACCTCTGATAATAGACACTGGCCAACTACTGTTTCCAAAGCAAGGTCCAAAAAGCTCTAACATAAACTACTCATATGGGACTAGAAGATGACTTTGACAAAGTATTGTTGTTCCTCCAGTCTTCGGGGTCTGCATCCTCAGATTCAGCCAACTGCAGGTGGAAAATGATAATCAGGAAAATGTTTTTCATCTGTATGGAGCATGTACAGACTGTTTTCTTGTCATTGTCTCTAAACAATACTGCACAACTACTTCCACAGCATTTGCATTGCTTTGGAAATAATGAGTCACCTGGAGATGGTAGAAAGGATACAGGGATATAGGGAATGAGTAGGTTCAATATAGATGCTATGCCACAATCCTACAAGCAGCTTGGGCATCTGTAGATTCTGGTGAGGGATCCAATCGATATATTTTTACTAATGTATCTGAATATTCTCTGAAGACTTCTACTCCCAGAAATATAAGTGGACCAGAATTTCTGAAGAGTCATGTTACAAAATCTTTACATAGGATTCTGAGTAAGAATAATTATTATGTGCCAGGAAGTCACAACAAATGACAATCTTTAAGGATCACATGTCATCCAGAAACATCCTTTTTTAATTGAAAGAAGGAAAGAAATTGGGTCTACATAATGGCAGAACACATGCTTACATATACAAGGCCCTGGGTTCAATCCTCAGCACTCAAGAAAGGACTGGAATATACAGATGGCAAAAAATGTGTGGAAAGGTGACACATGTCATATGCTATCAACAGATCAAAAACAAGATGGTACCATTAGACATATGCTATGGTACCATTAGACCGATGCCCAGAATGCTGGCTGCACCTAATGCTTTCAGGGATACAGAGGACCAGGAGAGAGTGCAAAATAGTACAGCCACTTTGGAAATTAGTGCAATGGATCTTTATAAAACAGAATAGTCTTGCCATTTAATCCAGGAAGTCTTCAGTATTTATTCAAAGGAATAGAAACATGCCCACACTAATCTGCACATGAATATTTAAGTATCTTTATTCATAATTTCAAAAGCTTGGAAGCCACCAATGTACTCTTCAGAAAGTGAATGAATAGTCCAGGCAATAGACTATTATTATTCAGTGCTAAAATGTGACAGTTCATTAATACATGAAGGAAACTTAAAAGCATATTGCTAAATGAAAGATTCCAACTGGGAAGAGCTACAAACTACTTGATTCCAACTATGCAACCTTCTCAAAAGAAGACAAACTATGGAGACAGTAAGAGTATCAGTGATTGCCAGGGCCTGGGGGAAGGATGCACGAACAGGCTCACAGAGCATCTCTCAGGCAGTAGAGCATTTGGTATGCTCCTGTAGCAGTGGACACACACAAGGGCAGCCTACAGAATACACAACACGAGGAGAGAACCCAGGACTCTAGGGGACAGTGGTGCATCAAGGCAGTTTCATCTACTGGGGGAGAGGAAGGTTGCAGGAGGCAAGTTTGAGGCATGTGAGAAATCACTATACCTTCTCAGTCTGCTGAGTCTAACACATCTCTAAAAGTTTAAAGCTAATGGACACATAAATAACTGCTGAGACACTCGTGGGATTGAGGGCTAAGATCCACGCACGGCTCTTCCTCCCTCACTTGCCAATGTAAAGGCTCTCTTCACAATAAGCACCCCAGATCCATGCTCTGTGCCGGTGAACCCTAAACCTGGCCTTTGTCATCTCATGCAAACAGGCAATTTGCAGATAGTCACAGCCTGAAGGATCTGATGAGCCAGACAGGTTGACAGCAGCAGGGCCATCTGGTGACCTCCAGATGTGCGAGTCGAGCTGGACCTACCTGATGTTTTCCAGGGCGTTTGTTATCTGCTGTTGCTCAATGTCATAAAGTTTTACCTTGAAGCCTCCACTGGCAAAGAGCATTGCCCAGCTCCGACCAATGAGTCCACTGGGGAGAAAAATTAAAAAAATCAAATCACTTATTGATCCAATCACTTTTCATGTCTTATATAAGGCAACTATAAAAATTATACAACCTCTCACTTTTATAACGGTTGATAAATATCTGAAGAGCTTGCATAGCCTTTATGTTGGATTGTGTGGTACACGGAATCTAGAAGGATTTAAAGGGAAGATGTGTATCACCTCTGCAACACTGCCATTTCACTTATACAAGAGACTTGAGCATCTATGTTGACACCTCCTGGGGACCTCAGAAGCCCTCACTCACAAATACTGAGGGACAATTGCATTTTCCCAATCCACCCTCTGCCCCCAGATAATGTCTGCCTCTATCACTACATCGAGGCATGGAATAGGTGCCAGACCCCATTCGACACTTCCAAGTCTCACCTCTGTTAATCTTTGCAATACCCTATGAAGACTTTGCAGTAGATGCTATCCATTTCTCTTTTTACTCAAGGAAAGGAAGGCATCAAAGGATCAATCCCAGGCAGGCTGCTTATGCTGTGACTAGGAGATGAAGCCAAGAGGTCTGACTCAAGAGTCCTTACTTTGTTTTAGTTTTGTTTTGCTTTTATAAAGAAGAGTAGGGATTTTTATCAAAAGGTATTTTTAATATAGATTCCAACATGCAGGTTAAGAGAAAGAAAGGTCTGACTAGAGAGATGGTTCAGCAGTTCAGAGCACTGGCTGCTCTTCCAGAAGACCTGGGTTCAATTCCAAGCCCATACAAGGCAGCTCACAACTGTCTGTAACTCCAGTTCCAGGGAATCTGACAACCTCACACCAATGCACATAAAATAAGATTTAACTACTTTTTTTAAAGGTTAAAATGTTAAAGAGAGAGGGGAACTAAGAAAGACACCAGAGAGCATGTGTGTGAGCTTCTCTAAGAAAACTCCCAAGATCTAACTTTTGTTTTTCTTGCTTCCAGACAAGGTTTCCTGTAACAGCCCAGGCTGGCCAGGGAGCTGAAGGATTTGAATTCCTGATTCTTCTGCTCCCACCTCTGGAGGTGGCTTGTGCGCCACCACCCAGTTTGTATAGTGCTGAAGAGCAAGGCCACAGCCTCTCCTGTGCTAGACTGCACTCTACCGGGTGAGCTCCGACCTGAGCAGGAGTCTTTACCGGATGTGCCATCCACCTTCCAGACTGACTGACAATCAAAAGGACAAAAAGTCACCGTTTCCAAAGGACTAAACACAAAGTTATAAAACACAGCTGGGTGCAAGGTAAATATATAATATACTTGTTATCCCTGAACTTGGGGGTCAAGAAGACAAGAAGAGAGTCCTAGGTCAGGGCCAGCATGGGCTACATGTAAGATATGTATCCAAAAAAAAGAAAAAAAGCCAGAACACATCTAGGGTCCAAACTGGCTTCTAATCCCATTCTTCAATCAAAGGAAGCGGGACACCTTGGAGAAATGACTAATTCTAGGACTGAGCAAGATAAGAGATGACCCTGGACAGTCTGCCACATCGGAAAGCCAGGAAGTGCTAAGGTAGATGCCTGGCTAGCCCAGCATGTCCAAGGGACACATACAACCACTAAGAGAGTGCCCAGGGGCCAAGGCAATGAAGTCTAGTTTTCACTACACAGAAACGAATAAACAAATAAAAGTACCCTTGTGGAAGAATTCCAATCATTTGTGTGGCTACACCACCCTCGGGGACATGAGGTCACACTCTGTGACAGCTATTCTTGGTTGTCAACTTGACTACATCTGAAATAACTAACACCCAAGCATCTGGGCACACCTGGAGGGGTTCTTCCTAACTGAATCATATGAAGTGGGAACACTCACCTTTAATCCAGATCTTAGAGGTGAGAAGACACCTTTAATCTGGGTCACACCGTCTGCAGGCAGCCTACATAAAGGACGTGGAAGAAGGAAGCTCTCACTCTGCCTGCTTGCCCTCAATCTCACTGGCAAGTCTATCCCTTTGCTGGAAGTAGAGTCTACTTCTTTGGGATTCCGGCATATACTGAAGACCTCAAGGCCTGAACAACAACTAGATTCATGGATATTCCATTGGGAGACAGCCATTGTTGTACAGTCTATAAGCCACTCTAATAAATTAAATAAAGGATAGATAGGTAATATATGTATATATTCATATACATTCATTCTATCAGATCTGTGCCCTGATGGATACACCCTCCGTGCACCCTCAAATGTAACTTAGACAGAGCCACTCTCAAAAGTATAGTAAGGAAGAAAACAGGGAGTAACTCAACCGTAGAGCAGCAAGGCAAACAGGACCTTAGCCAGGTTGTTCAAGGTTACCATCAATCATGGTGAGTCATACTGACTGTTCGCTCCCAGGATGTGCTGCAATGAGAATGGCCCTTGACCTCCAAGCCCTTCCCCCTACAGCCTCAGTCTAATCAGGGGCAAAGTATTAGGAGAACAAACAGAATTCAACTTCTTACCTGGTGTTCTTCCAAACTGACAAGGTCACCAAGAACAAGGAAAAGTCTAAGAATTGTCACAATCTAGAGGTGTTGATACAGAAACAGCAAATGAAGTGGCCCTCTGCATGGATGAGCTCCAAGGCCCTCCTGCCCTGTACCAGTAAGTGGCCATGTCCCTTACCTAAAATGGCATAGCATTTGCACAGAACCGATATCCATCATCCCATTATCTGCAGATCCTGCCTTGATCATCTGTAAATGACTTACACAACGAAAACGCTATTGTACATGGCTGTCCTATTACATAGTTTAAAGCAGTGGTTCTCAACCTTCCTAATGCTGTGACCCTTTAAAGCAGCTCCTCACGTGGTGACCCCCAACCATAAAATTATTTCATTGCTATTTCATAACTGCAATTTTGCTGCTGTTATGAATCATAGTGTAAGCATCTGCGTTTTCCCATGGTCTTAGGCAACCTGTGAAAGGGTCGCTCAACCCCCAAAGGAGTTGAAAACCACTGGTTTAGAGGATAATGATGGGAAGAGGTATACACACATGAAGTCAGACACTTTTTTTTAATGATTTTCAGTCTGCAGATATGGAGGCCAAGGACATACAAGTGTGAAGATAAGTCTCCCCCAGGACTGATTCTAAGCAAACTCCATTGTTGGACCATCTCCTACATGCAGGCAAGCGTGGGAGTGGCTGAGAGTGCCTAGGAGCAAATGACAAGTCCAAGCAGGACCATGCTTCCATCTTAATCCCAAAGCCTGGGAGGTTCACTAGATGGTAACCCAGATCTTTCTGGCGTATCTCAGCATGTGGATAAAATTTCTGCTTTGTGCAGGAAAATGGGGAAGGCAGTGCTGATCAGCACTATGACTTTGTTTGTGCTTGTTTGACAGGATGAACTCCACACGCTCGAAACCTTTGTAATCTTGGCACATTGTAGAGCTTGATAAGTGTGTGTTGTTGTCAACAAAAAAAGCTGACATATGCTAGTGACAAACTCTAGATAAAGGTCAATGGCACTTCCTTCGGGGTTAAAACAAGAGCAACACGGAGTGCCCGGTGCACCCCAGGCACCGCTCCTGCTCCAGATCAGATGGCATTGACGCCACCTAACGGAACTGCTGAGAAAGAGGAAGTAGCAAGAAGGGCTTTGAGCAGGAAGTAGAGTCTGGGAGGCACAGAAATCTGAAAGCATCCCCAGGGACTGTCTCACCAGGGACAGGAGGTGAGAGGAGATGTCTGGAAGAAGTGTCTGTGGCAGAGCTGGAGTGTCTGCAGGTCCCGCTGGCATGGAGGTGGTTAGGAAAGGGTGGCCAAGGATGAGGTCAGAAGAGGGAGGGCAGAGGGGTGATCTCACTGCACACATAGTTTCTCAGAGGCCTTGCAGGATTTAAGGTTTTAATCTGGGTGCAACGGGCAGCCAATGAAAAGTTTTAGATTACGGGCGTGAGCTGACTGGTTTTAAAAGTTTAAAAGGAAATGTCTGGAGCTGGAAACGGTGCTGCATACCAGTACTCAGGAAGCTGAGTCAAGTGGATTTTGAGTTTAATGCCATTCTGGGCTACAGCAAGACCCTGCAAAACACACACACACACACACACACACACACACACACACCACCCCACACCTCAAGATGCTGGGCAGCAGCAGCAACTGTAGCTTCCAGTCAACCCTGAGATCACCAAAGACACTCCACAGTGTGCTATAGTGTTAAACTGGAATGTGTAGATGGGTTGTTAGATTTAGGCATTTTTCATTCCTGCTGTGTTCACCTTAAGATGCATTTATCAACGGGGCCCCACGAATTGCTGCTGGTCCATATGATGGGAGGGGGATCAAGGATGATGCCAAATTATGTTCCAAGAACAATAAAGAGTGAGATGTCACTAACTCTATTGATGAAGATGCTAGGAGAGACAATCAGGATTCGGTGCAGGACATTTTTAAGTGGGAAGCTGACATTAAAGAGGTATTTCTAGCACATAGCTGGATAAGAACTGGGTTCAAAGTCAAGGCCCAGCCTGAGATGTCAGTGTGGGCATTTGTAAGAATGAGATTCATGAGATCTCTAAGAGAGTGAAGGTTGATACATAAATCAAAGGGTTGGACTTTGGGACAGTCTAACTTGTTTTTTCTTTGAGATAGGGTCTCAACATGCAGCCCTGGCAGGCCCGGAACTAGTTATGTAACCAGGAGGATGTTCCAGCTATGGGGAAGGCAGTGCTGGCAGGTGACTCAAGCAAGTACAAGTGGTTGCACACATGACTGCCCATCTAAGTTCAATCCCAGATCCCACAAAGTGGCAAGAGAGAACTAACGGCTGAGAATTGTCCTCTGACCTCCACACATGCCCTGTAGCATGAGCAAGTGTGATGAGATAGATAGATAGATACATAGATAGATACATAGATAGATAGATAGATAGATAGATAGATAATACATATAGTCGATGGATATATAGATATATCGTGGATGGATGGATGGATGGTTTGGGTGGGTGGGTGGGTAAGTGAGTGGGTAGACAGATGGATGGACGGACAGACAGACAGATGACAACCAAATAAGAAGGTGGGAAGAGTCAGGGGGTGAAACCAAGAAGAAGATGGCACCCATCTGTGTTCATCCAATCAGGTTCTGATTTGAACTGAAACTCATCATTGGCTTTAGCTGAATAAATAGGGATGTGGATCATGGTAAGAGCAATCTAGGGGGTCTGGTGTCAAGAAGAGCCTGCCTGGGGAGGGGCTAGGCAGAAAGAGCCTCTGGATATTAACTACCAGTCTCTTGGGAACAAAAGGGACAGGTGGGCATGCTAATATATTTGACAGTGTCTCAACTGTGGGAGATTTGACTCCATGTTCTGCAATATCAAAATCTTCTTCAAAATAATTAATGTGTTATGTCATATACATACAAATTTTAATCTAACTCTTAGACCTCTAGATGTACACTGATCAATATGGTAGACTTTAGCCATGTATAGCTATTAAATTTTTTAATTAGTTAGGTAAATGTTAAAGTTCAGCCAATGTGCAGAACTGACCACAGTTCAAGTTCTCAATGCCCACGTCATATTGGCTTCCAGGTTGGACAGCAAGGTTGGACAGACGTCTTCCCATATCCACAGGGAGAACTTGCATCTGTTCTGAATATGCTGACTTTCCCTGGCCATTACTCGCTAAACAATAAACAACTATTTACATGGCATTTACACTATGTTAGGTGAAGGTATAAAGATGGGGGAAGTTAAGGTGATATGGGAAAGGAATGGGCTTCTTATCTAGAATCTAGCTTAAGTCTCTCACCAACTATGAGTAAGGAATTCCATAACAATTAACAATATTACTGTAAAGCTTGCTTTCCTAAAGACAGTATTCCTTTTACACAGAGACCTTTTTAGAACAGGCTGGCCTTGAACTCACAGAGATCCACCTGGGATCAAATGCGTGTGCCACCACCACCTGGCTTATACAGAGACTTCCTAAGGATGTTAAAGCAGCAATGAGCCATGCTTAAGGCCTTGCTCCCATATGTAAAACATAATTTTTATGTGACATTTTCTGGAGAGATCACAGCCTTCTACGTGTGTGCAGACTTGTTACATAGTCATGGATGGCCTCAGACTTACACCAATCCCTCTGCCTCAGCCTCTCGGGTGCTAGCATTACAGGTACCAAGCCTGATAATTTTAAAATTATGTCTGTCTACAGCTACCTCTTTATGAGAACAAGTTGAAGCAAAGCTGCCCCTAATGTAGGCATTATGCTGGCCTGCCCCTGTCAGCTGGCAGAATGCACTCAGGCAGTACTCTGGTCGGCCCACGGTTCCATGAGTGCTGGTCTGCAAGCAGGTGCAAAGGACCCCTTTAAAAAGACAGGCCCCGCCCACTTACGCTCTCTTGCTCTCTTTTGCCCCTTCTTCTCTCGCCCTTCGCATCCCCTCCCCCACACACACACACATGCCCACACCACGCCCAGACATGTTTCTGTCTTAAACAAACTAAGGTCTGGGATAGGTTTACCAACACAGAACAGTGTGTAAATGAACACCGCACTCGGACATCGTGACTGCCTGGGAACACCACTCAAACGTCCGTCCACACTCATCTCTACTGCCGTCACTGAAGATGTCACTTCCTGATTTTCCCGCTTTTGCTCCCACAGCCCCGCACCATGTTTCCGTTTGTTTGGCTATGGCGGATGTTCTCCTCACTTAACTCTTCCAAATCTACTCTTCCCCACCTTTTTGAAACAGCCTGCCCAGAAGTTCACAGGGTTAAAAGGTCCTGAAGAAGGGGAGCCCTGGTAGAAATGGTCACAGGAAATCGTCAAATCAAAGCCGTATTTCTAGATAGGCATCACCTGCAACACCAGCACTAAGGGACCTATGGGGACACTGAGGCAGAAGGACCAGAAGTTCAAGCTCACCCTCAGCTACACAGGAGGTTTGAGTCCAGCTAAGACTATATAATACCCCCCCAACGCACACATACAGAGTGATAAACTTCAGAGCCAATAATCTGGCTCATGTTCACACTTCTGAGTCCAGCTAAGACTATATAATACCCCCCCAACGCACACATACAGAGTGATAAACTTCAGAGCCAATAATCTGGCTCATGTTCACACTTCTGACATTCAGAGAGCTGAGGCTGGAGACCAGGAGATCAAGGCCAGCCTAGGTTATACAGTAAGGTCCTATATCAGACGGCGTGAAAATGGCCTAGGGTATAGCTCAGTCCTTAGCACTGCAAGGAAATGAAAGAGGGGAGGGAGGAGGGAGGCCAGGCCAAGGAGAGGGGCCAGGGTGCTAAGTTACTTGCTATGCAAACCTAGCAACCTAATCTGAGTTTGGTCCCCAGACACCACATAAGGACATGGAGCAAAGCAACGCCTCAAAGTTGTCTCCTGACATCCTGTCACACTCACACACACACTCACACACACTCACACACACATGCACACACTCACACCATACACTCACACACACACTCACACACACATGCACACACTCTCACACACAACACCATGCACTCACACACACACCATACACTCACACACACACATGCACACACTCTCACACACAACACCATGCACTCATACATTCACACTCACGCACACACACAACACCATGCACTCACACACTCACACGCACACACTCACATACACAGTCACACACAACACCATGCACTCACACACACTCACACACAAACTAACTTGTATAACTTCTTTTTTAAAAAAGTACAAAAAACAACCAGTGAGCCCCAGCCAGGTCTATTTCGCTTTTGTTTTTGTTGAGACTCTTGCCCAGGTTGGCCTGGAACTCGAGATCCTTGTGTCTCCGCCTCCTTAGGATTACAGGTGTGCATGCGTATGGCCTTGCCAAGCTCTTCATTCAGGTTTAAGGAACTGCTTTAATTCTGGGCACCACGTGTTAAATGGTTATTCCCTTGAATCACCTATGCATCCTAAAAGACAGAGACAGAGAGTGCTAGGGAAGACAGAAAGATAGTTGACAGAGATGAGCTAGGCGGCAAAGATTGGTGACAGACACGATATAGACATGTGGAGGACTGACCGGAGCTGGATGGACAGATGAGAAAGGGGTGGGGAAGGGTTAGGAAGGCCAACCTCGTGTTCATAAGGGCTGTAAGCAAAAGACAGAGCTTTCTCATTAGAAGACAAATAACGTCCAATCGCCCCAGGTCATCCTGCAGTGCTGAAGATGCCCCAAGCCCCTTCTAAGTTCCCTGTCCATGAGCTCAGATAACTGAGTAGCTCCTCCTCGGGGGACTGGGAACCAGCCACAGGATCAAGTCAAAATCCCTCCTGACACACCAGAGCACCACTACACACTGACAAGACATCCAAAAAAGCCTACCCCTGACCTGGTGGCTATCACAGCAGGCGGGGCAGCACAAGTCACCACAGGGCAAAGTGCACTTTCTGATATTCCTTGACCATTCAACCACAGGCATCCGCCGGAAAGGACAAAGTTGCCTTTAATCCCGCAGTTCTGTGAGAGAAAAAAATGGCAGGAGGCATCCTGACCCCTTCCTCCAAAGGGCTCTAACGGAAACCCCTGAACTTGGGATTGGCCTGCAGGCTGGGCAACAGGTGGTCAAAGCATAAGCAGGGACAAGAAGGCCCTCCTCAAATAGCTATCAGCCAATTCGAGTTACTGTGTGTTGTTACATGTCGATAGAATTGTAGGCTAGCCAATGAAAAGCACACATAAACGCCCCCTCCTTACTGAAAAAAAAAAAAAACAGCAATGAAGGCAGAAGAGGTGTGAGAACAGAAATCAGTGGCGAGTGAACTCGGGCTGTTAAGAGGGACTCTGCCTCCAGCCTTGGGACACGCGGACACGTACACTAGAGCGCAGGTGTCTTGACTGACAAGGGTTCTGCCTCCAGAGACTTACCAGCCTAGCCCCGTGGTTCATATGAACCTTCTTAACCACCCTAGCCAATCTCCATCAGTTACTATCACTTGTTTGCGCTCTTAATAAAAATAAGGGCACTGTTTTCAAGCCGGGTGTGGTGGCACACACCAGCAATTTCAGTCATTGGGAGGTAGAGGCAGGAGGATCAAGAGTTCTAGAACAGCCTCAGCTACTTAGAGACTCGGAGCCCAGCCTGAGCTACGTGAGACTCCGTCCCAAAACGTTAGAACACAATTTGCACAGGATCATCGCTAGTATCCGGTTAGTACTTGATGCTAGGCACCTGAGTAGCCCGGCACCACTGAGCTGTCCAGCCTGTGCTGACAAAAGTGGAAACCTCCGGGTGGCCCACACCGACTTAAGAAACACTTTGGCTCTCCTCAGGGCTCCACCAAGCCACGACCGCCACCGTGTCTCCTGCCAGGCCAGCTCTGGAGCGCAAGTGCAAAGCGCCTGGAGGAGCGAGGTACAGCCTGATGCCCACCCGAGGCACTCACGGCCGCCAGAGCGAGGCCCCGCGTTCCGGACGCTGCCGAGGCGCCAGCCTTTGCAGCGCAGCGCCACTGAGACCTTTACCTGCCTACGATCACCACCCCGCCTGCTGCGGGGGACGCCATGGCAGATCCGGGCCTGGCAGCACAGCTGCGCTAGGGAGGGAGCAAGCAGAGCAGACTCCGCAGTGAGCGGGATGAGGCTGGGCGCCAGGGTGGGGCTGGGCGCCAGGGTGGGCGTGCCACAGCCTCGTGCAGCCGCTCCCATTGGATGCCAAGCTCCAGGGCGGGGCCAAGGCGCAGGAGGGCGGAGCCTGCAGGGCTAAACTCCAGGTCGGTCACGGGGTTCTATCTGGCACAGGGAACGTGGGAACTTGAATGAAACCGGGAAGACCAGACAATTCTGAACTGAGCAATTTTACTTTTCAGTTTCTAACAGGAAACCGTTAAGCCAGTGTCCTTAGGAGCGGATACTGCCAGGCTGGCACAAAACCTTACCCCAGAGACTTTGAAGAAAATGTTCCTTTAAAGACGTTTAAGACATAGCACCATTTCGGCACTTTAAGGACGTTTGCTTCACTGTTTCCATTCGACTGTACACTGAGGTGCAAATCTGGTGAGATACCTACCGCCTGGCTTCACTGATGTTAACTGAAGCCCGGGTACTTAGGGACAGCTACAAAGAAAAATTCCGGATATGTCAATCTGAGAAACGGAAGGACGCGTTTGAATTCCTTGTAACGTGCCTCAGCTACTGTGTGCCTTACTTCCTCCTTCCAGAGGCGTGCAGTGCCACGTGTGTTAAGAAAAGGTCAAGCAGGACACGCACCGCACCTGCTCTCCCCAGACCTGTGAGGCAGAGCCAAGAGTTCCGCCCCACCCGGGCCTACCCCACTCCCCCCCAAAAAAATGTCTAGTGCCTTGACTCCTGGCTCTTTTAATTGAGAACAGACACAGAACGAGAGGAATCCCACTGCGTGGCACAAGTTTTGTCCTCACACATCACAATCAGAAGTACAAACAAATCGTGGCCAGAAGCTTGGGCAAAGCTGAAACCAGAATGCGCTGTTGGGGACAGACTCAGGAGAGTAGAACTTGCCTTATTCCCATCCCGTTGTCGGGAATATGGAAAGAGAAACCTAAGAGGTTGGGGTTTTTGTTTGTTGTTTTTCTGAGACAGGGTGAGAGGTCTAAATTTCCCCTTTTTTACAACTGGATTTAGGTTTTTAGTCACCATTTTGTACAGGTGAACGGCCTGGCATATGCTAGTTAATAAATGCTCTTTGTTCTTGCATACTATCTGAGTCTTCAGTGTTTTCTTGGACCATTACAAGGGGTTCTCTGTATAGCCCTGGCTGTCCTGGAACTCTCTTTCTAGACCAGGCTGGACTTGAACTCACAGAGACCCACCTGCCTCGGCCTCCTGAGAGGTTATGTTTGTGCAAGCTAAAACTAAAATCAGAGGGAGTGTAAATAAAAAAGAGTTGTCATATAGTGTCTGACAAACACTGCTGAGTTTATCAAGAAAACAGATGTTGCTAGACTACCCCAAGTCCCACGCTGATGGGAACCCTGCCTCGAACACTAATGTAATTATTTTTTGTCTTTAAAATGCAGTACCCCAAGACACATTTTGGAGGCATGAGCCCACTGTTGGTCTGACCATTAATAAAGGACTCATTATTTTGGTCGGTTTAGTTAGCCTGGTTGTCAGTAGCTTTCTCTTGTGGACCATTTCAAGGCCACAGAAGGTCACTGGGAGAGCATCTGCCACAGTTCAGACTCCAAAGCCTCTGTCTCCTGATGCCAATGGTTTCTCAAACAGACACAAAATATTACATGGGTTTGGGCACCAAAGGGAGGATCCTGCACTGCTCACTACTGGGGAGGGAGTCTGGGCCTGGTATCACTCACTAGTATCGTACACAGTATGCTGAGGCAGGAGGATTGAGTGATCTCAGAAGGTCCAGGCCAACCTAGACAACTAAGCAAGACCCTCTCTCTAATTAATCAATTGAAACTTTAAAAAACTAAAGAGCATCTTGCAAATACTTACTTTTACTCTCACTCTAAAAGATTTACACCTCTTAACCTGTAGGTCTTTTATCAACAAAACAAAACCAAGTTCATTTGCTGGGTAGCAACTAGGTGAAAATCTTAGATCCTCACAGTTATTAATACAGAATTTAATATGGGAGGACTATTTTGTTTGTTTGTTTGTTTTTTGCTTTTAGCATGCTGGAGGTCAAACCCAGGGTCTTGTGCCCACTAGGTCAATGCTACCTCACAGAGCTACCCAACCCCCACCCCAACTTACATGAACCTTTTGGCTTAATTTCAATTTTAAAGTCTGTTTCACAAAAATATAGAGAGACAAAGATATGGAGAAAATAGTTTATTTCAGTGTGGTTTTTTTAGTGAATATCCACTGATTTAAAATGGCTTTAAAGGTGGTTCAATTCTGGTGAAGTTAGAGGAGCAAAGATGGAGTTCAAGCATCTAAGTACTTAAAACACAGCAGGAAGGCTGCCCCAAGGAGAGAATAGTGTTCTTAGACACTGAGCAAAAGTCAGTCTGGGTGGCTTTCAGTGTAGCTCAGTTGGTAGAGTGTTTGCCTCGAGTGTGCAAAGCCCTAGGTTTCATCCCTGACACCACATTAAATGGAAGTCATGGCTGTGTCTGCAATCCCAGCACTTGAGAGGTAGAGGCAGCAGGATCACAAGCATCAACCTGACATCATTCTTAGTCAAATACTGACTGGAGACAAGAGAGAAAGAGGCAGGGAGAAGGGTTTCCAAGGAGAGGGAGAGATGTCATTAGGTCATGTGACACATAGTCGTCAAATTAATGTAGCTCTTGGGAGACCTTAGTTCTCACAAGAGTGATTTACAATGAATAAAGCAAACTCATGTGCTTCTCCGTAAGACTGTTTTATTTCTTCTCCACTGTGTTGTGATACAGCCAAGGAGGCATCTAGCAGAAGCCAAAACGGGGGTCACTCATCTAGGAATTTTAGCCTCCTGACCTGTGACACACTTTGTGAAAACCTAGCTTCAGATGTGAGGTGGCAACAGAAAGAGACAGCTACAGGGGAGCTACTGTATTTGACTCCCGTTCCTGAGCAGAGCTCCTAAAAGCCTGAATCTAGCCTGAGCATCAGGAGCTTTAAGGGGGGGAAGGAACATCTTGGTCCACACCTGAGTTCAGCTAGTGAGTGACTGGGGAAGGCCTCCTCAGGATAGGGGATGGCTGTGGGGAGACTGAACCATGTGGCTAGAGTGAGAACTTCCAACCTCACCCTTCAGTCTCCTGGGAAGAAAAAGGTCTGAAGATTGACTTAAATATCAGTAGACACTGATCTCATGAGCCATACCTGTACAATGATGCTGCCATAAAACCCAAAAGGGGCCGGGCGTTGCTGGCGCACGCCTTTAATCCCAGCACTCGGGAGGCAGAGGCAGGCGGATCTCTGTGAGTTTGAGACCAGCCTGGTCTACAAGAGTTAGTTCCAGGACAGCCTCCAAAGCCATAGAGAAACCCTGTCTCAAAACAACAACAACAACAACAACAAAAAACAAAAAACAAAAAACCAAAAGGACGGAGCTCATCTAGCTTCCTAGTAGTAAGCAATACCGTGTCTATTAAGTGAGATACCCAGGCCCAGAAAGACAAACGCTCTATGTTCTCTCTCATATGTGGATCTCGGTTGAATTTTTATATTTCTGTATTGAAGTAGGAGCGAGAGTGTCTTCAGGGGCCAGGAAACAAGAAGGGAGCCATAGGAAGGGACAGGCCAGAGCCTTGTAAGGGATGAAAGATATCAAGTGACTTCAAAGTAGATGAGGGAAGAGTAGAGGTGGAAAGGGTTAAATGGCACAGGGGTGATGGGCTGGGGAAAGTGTAGGAATTAGAAAAAGCTAACCAAAACTCATGATGTCTGGAAAGACATCATAGAAACCTACTACCTTGTAAGTTAACTAAACGATACAATAAAAAAAAAACAGGGGTGCCCAGCATGGGTGGACAACACTCCTCCTAGAAGCCTTAGGTCTATAAACAAAAACCCCAGTGCCAGGAGTGGGTGATCTCCCAGTGAGTTCTCAGCAAGCTCCCAGAGCCTCACAAAACAACGGATAATTGCCATTGATCTTAGTTTCCCACCAGAACTAGATGACAAGATCCTACTGCTGAAGATACCACACACTTTGAATACAGGACACACAGAAACCCAGCCAGTACTCAGTTCTAAACTTCCTCCCTGCTGGCTAGCCTTCACAGTGCCTGAAAGTGTTAGGCAAGCCTCTGGGGAGAAAAATCACCACGCTGTGAAGCCCACTGGCCAAGCTAGATATGCCCACTGAAGCAACAATAGAATAGCTATTTGGGGAGCAACCAACGTTTTTGTTTGTTTAAGACAGGGTTTCTCTGTGTAGCCCTGGCTGTCCTGGAGCTTGCTCTGTAGACCAAGATGATCTCACACTCACAGAGATCCCCCGCCTCTGCCTCCAGAATGCTGGGATCAAAGGTGTGCACCACCACCGTCTGGCTTCCTCTTTTTTATTCTCATTTTCATGATACCAAGGAATTAGATGTTAAATCAATGTATTCGCACACACTAAGCAAGTCCTCTGCTGCTGAGCAACTGCCTCAGCCCTCACTTTGGATCCTAAGAGTTTCTCACATGCTCACATGTTGAATGCTTGGTACTCAATCTGTGGCACTTTTGAGAGGTGACAATCTTTAAGAGGTGGGATTTGGAAGAAGTTGGGATGCTGAAGAGTGAGCAATCACAACCTTGAGTGGCATATGGGGACCCCCGCCCTCGTCCTCTTTTCTTTTGCTTCCTGGCCACGGTGAGATAAACAGATCTCCTTTATCAATGCTGCCTCCATGATGTACTTTACTGCCAAAGGCCCAAAGCGATGGGGCCAAGTGATCCCCGTAAGACCATGAGACAGAATAAAGCTATCCCTCCTTTAAATTGATCATCTCAGGCATTTTGTTGAAGTTGGCTGATGCTTTTTTCAATAAGGTAGCCATCAGCCACATGTACTGACTGCTACTTTAACTATGACTGCAGTAGCCAAGGAAATTCGTTTTAGTTCAGTTAATTCTACATTCAGTAAATGACTGTATGCATCTAATATGAGGTAGCTCAATTCTAGGCATTGAGAACAATGGTAAGCAAGACCAACAAAGACCTTTAGTTTCCTGAAGTAT